GTTGTTAGTTATGAAAAATGTTGTTAATTATGAAAAATGTTTATCGTTGATCAAAACAATGCCCATGCTCTGATCTCAAGACCTATAATGCTGCAAATCTTTTTTTCCTCGAAATTTTTGACATTTTTCAAGTCATGGCCAAACTACACTTTATTTTGAGACTCTGTGATTGTACACTTATCTGGATGATTGATTTGGTGTACTATCCCGTTTTAGTGTCTTTAGGCTGCATGTTTTTATATACTTAAAGAATATTCTCGGGCCAGAACATCAAATAAAGTGGAGTTTTGAGTGCTGTCAATAATGTAATACAATGATAAGGTTTTTTTGTCACAAATTACTTTCATTATCGAGTGATTCTTGTGAAATGAACGCTGCTATGATTTGTAATGTGCCGAATTCAATGTTTCTAATTCACTGTGTCAAAGAAAGGAAGATTTGATTCGCTCGATTTAAATCAGTGTAAAAGTTTTCATTTTTTCCTTGTGATTTTCGATCAAATGTTCTAGAAATAGTTTTCAGCTTAATTCTTTTTGCAAAGTTCTTGGAATAGTTAGGTGAAGATATTACACTTAACAATTATATTTGTTGAGAGCTTAGAGAGAATAAGCACCATCTCTACACTACTTATACATACTATTCCTCCTGACCCCTCCCTGTAATTTTTTTACACAACTCAAAAATTATTGATCTGAGGCTGTTGAAATTTTCTGACTTTTCCCATTGCCCTCCTATTGGGTCTAAAACAGGGCTATTATACTAACTACATGAATCCTAGAATGACTAATTTTTCCTTTAACAATCAAATCATTGTTTTGACCCACTTTTTGTTGTCAGATTTTGATAATTTTTAGATTTTTGGAAAGCCTATGACGAAAGGAGAGGAATTGCACAAGTTTTGCAAAGAAATTTTTGCACAACTTTTGCATACAACATTTTAAAAAAATTTGCAATTTTTTGCATATTTAAAATGGCATGGTCAGGGGCTTTCAACAATGTATTTGTTTTTTGGACATTTTTTTGCAAACATTTTTACTTTATAACTAGATTTTGCAAAAAATTTATTTTTGCAAATTTGCAATTTTTTGGCAATTTCTCAAAGAAGAAAAGTAGAGCTTTCCAATGATGTATCATTTGTCATATTTGGACATTAAACATGGGATTTAAAAGGGGAAGGTCAAACTGCCCCCCCCCCCACTAAAGCGTATCCTGGTTTTCAAGTATCCCAGCAGGGATAGGGTTAAAATGAATAAATTTAATTAAAGATGAAAACTTTGTTTACTCTTTTATTAAAAATCTTCTCTGAGGAAATTTGAAAATAATCTAATAATCAATTGAAGTTGAGTGGAGACAGATTGGACAGTTGATAATTAAAGAATATGGAATCATGAAAAAATCATAAATTTTAGATGTTTATGAACAGTACACCTGAAAGACTGAAAATGAATTTCAATGCACATTAAAAGAGATCGATATTGAAAAATTGGGGGTAACAATGAAAACCAGAAGTGTTCTTTACCTTAAAAAAAACAGATTTTACTTTAAAACAGAAATAAAAATGTCACCAATTTTGATGTTACATGAGATATGATATACTAATACTATACGATACTATATAAATCTTCAAATAGTTGATATCTCTTCATATATATATTTATATATGTATATATGCATTCTATTGATAAATATAGATTGTAGCTTCGTAACTAAAATCAGAATAAAAATAGAATAACATCGACTAACGATCAAATTCTTGTGGGAAGAAAAACATAATTATCTTAAAAATCTGAATCAAAGATTCCAGAAGGGTCGGTGGTATGTATTAACCCTGAAAGGAGTATTTCTTATATACTGAAGGGGGGTGGTATTTATAACCCTGAAGGGAGTATTTCTTTCTGTGATGGTATATTCAATTTCAAGATATCCTACATATAGTATAAGTGCAATGTGAGATTTACAACGGTTCCCTCAAAACTGATCACTGGCTGACCACGAATGAATAAGCTATTCAAGTTTATAATGCAAGGAAAGTTAATTGCAGTTGTGTATACTCTGCGTACATATTAGTATCCGAGGAGGAAAAAATTAAAAGCATTGAATTTTGAAAATTTTTATAATTCACATCATAGTTTCCTATGACCAGAATATTTCATTGATTTTTTTTTATGTGAAAGATGGATCCTATGTCAGGCTGTGGCATCCGTCTTGTGTTAACATTACCGCCCAGAGACAGTACACACTACACAGCTGTACAAAAGATGCGTACACCCCTAAAATAAATTTCCTTGAATTATAACCGCTATCCAAGTTGCTTTTCTATGAAGATTAACTATCTTTAATTATGGTTTCTATATATATAATTAACTTGCAGAAATCCATATACAAAATTCAAAGAGATAGTTGACAGAATTGAAAAGTTTTAAAACTAGAAAAACGTCGATTTCTTCCACATTATTGATTCAGGTTTATTTTAAGATTTAATTGGCTTTCCCAATAATACGTAAATGCTGTAATTACCTTACCATTACCAAACAACCACCCAGACGCAAAGTATATATATATATATATAGATACCTTATTTTTTGTATCTATTATTACAAATATGTAATGTAATCAGAAAACTAAAAGTCTGTTTAAAATGTAAAGTGAAACCAGTTATTTTTTGTAAAATTTGTGCATTTTTCTATAATTTATTAAATTAGACTAAAAAGAAAGAAAATGTGTACTCTCTAACATATAAAATATTAATAATAAACCATCGAACTTATAAATATAACCTTTTCAAATGTTTTTTATTAAATGCCAGTACTAAAACTACTCTTAAAAACCGTTTATTTAGTTGTGGAAAATATTATAATATAATGATAGAGAAAAAAGATTTGATAAATAAAATCGATTTAAAATTTCAAAGTTCCCCTTTTATTGAAATTAAAAAGTAAGCAACCAAATTAACTAGAAAACTAAAAAAAAGATAGTTTCAACAAATACAAAGTCCATTTCCTATTAAAATAGTGAAAAGTTAATCTAACTCGTTCTAAAAGTTGTAAAATATAATTCTCAAGTGACAGAAATATAATTCTCTAAGGACATAAATATAATTCTCTAGGGGCAGAAATATAATTCTCAAGTGACAGAAATATAATTCTCTAAGGACAGAAATATAATTCTCTAAGGACATAAATATAATTCTCTAGGGACAGAAATATTATTCTCGAGGGACAGAAATATAATTCTCTAGGGACAGAAATATAATTCTCAAGTGACAGAAATATAATTCTCTAGGGACAGAAATATAATTCTCTAACTAAGGACATAAATATAATTCTCTAGGGACAGAAATATAATTCTCAAGAGACCGAAACATAATTCTCTAGGGACAGAAATATAATTCTCTAGGAACAGAAATATAATCCTCTAGGGACAGAAATATAATTCTCTAGGGACAGAAATATAATTCTCTAGGGACAGAAATATAATTCTCTAGGGACAGAAATATAATTCTCTAGAGACAGAAATATAATTCTCTAGGGACAGAAATATAATTCTGGGAATTTCCGCGGATTTTCTGCAAAATTGTTACCTGGGTAGGTTTTTTATTCTTGGTATATTATCTACGTATAAAATAAAACCAACAGGGATCAGTCCATGGATATATGATCAGTCTCAAGAATCAAAGAAATAAATGAATCAAAGGATATGTTAAAAAACCATGATTTTGAACGATTCCTTTTGCCTCATTTAGACTTGCATTTATAATATTTATCCTTACATCTTTGAAAACCCTAAATATAAACCATTGCTGTTTCAAACTATTAATTCTGCTGTAATCAAATATTTAAAGTTTGAAATATTAAAGAATTACACCATCATAGTCTTTTACTAAAGAACGAAAAGTTCCGACTTAAATGTTAAGTTTCAGCTTAAATGCCACTTCTGACTTAATTTAAACCTGACTTTTAAGCTACACCTTAAATATTTAACTCATCGATTTCGGCGAGTTAAATTTCAAACCGAAAATACCCAAATTAAGTTTTGTAATACTTCAAATGATTGAATCTAACGATTTAAGTTATAAGATTTTTCCCGTAATCTGGAATAAATAAATAAATCGTGTACGTTTCTAATATGAAATATATTTTGTTAATATGTGCGCTGCAGTTTTGTAAAGTAATTGAAATTAAAGAACAGATGATGTGCAAAAACTATGTCGATCCATAATCTCTATAACCTTTAGCGATTTTTTTTCGCCACTTCGCGCCGTTTAAAATGTAATAGGCCGTTAACAACTGAAGCCATCAACAATTGTTGAAAATTTCCCGTTATTTTTTTCTTTTTTAACGATTGGAATTAACCGTGAACGATGTCGTACAGACTAGATTTAGTTTATAGAGGATAATCATTTCTATACGTAAAAAACCTCTTTAATAAATCAGAATAATTCAGTGCATTCACTGGTAGAGAAAATACAGCTGTGCAATAAATTTGTACAATAATTTATTTCAGTGTAAAATAACATAAAAACAATTTTAGTAATCAGGTTTCTGTATATTCATCCTTCTCCAGGGTTCTACTAATACAGGAAGGGGGCCGAAATATTTGGTTCAATTTCTTCTATGTATGTACAGCTTGTACAACAAACGAAACGGCTAGAAAAAGTTAGAACGTGCCCGAACCCTATTTCTTTTTATAGATTAAACTCAAGACACTTGATACAGTGATAACCAGAAAACTCTGGAATATAATAAGACCACTTTTAGAATCAAGTTAACTTGAAAAGTTCAATGAGCATGAGTCACAGCAAAAGTGTCCATAAAATTATTTGCTTTGTAACAATATTAGAAACACTTATGTATTGTTATAATGTCGTCTTCCTATTCCATTATTTTCTGTTTATCATTGTAGTTTTCTGTATGGAAACTTAAATCTTTTAAGAATCGCATTAACCAGGATCGTCTGGGCTAGATATATTGCATTAAATTATTCCCCTTAATAGGACAAAAGAATATTAAATTCTTATAATTTCAGACAATTGTTCTCAAGAAAATACATCAAGGTAGGAAATGAAGAAAGGGACTGTTTCCCTTGGTTCCCCTGGAGGAACCTCGTTCACCTCTTCTGCATCAGACGATTTTAATTCATCAGCTGACTTCAACTCAATGCCTTCGTTTACCACGTCAGCTGATTTTTTAACATCAAGCAGTAACCCCGTAGAAAATGGCCGAAACGGAAATGGAAAATCCGCAAAAGAGAAAGGAGATGAAAAACAATCCAAGAAACAAATAGAAGCCGATCATAGCCTAAACAATACAGGTGAATACAAAAATAATGCATCCTTGAGGTCGTAACTTTTTATTTTTGTGTGAAGCATCTTTTATCATGAACGCCTGATCTCGATATCCAATGTGAGCGCTTTTAATTTGAGAATAATTGCTCGATCTCTTTATTTCCGTTATCCCTGCAAGGTACGATTACCAATGGATATCGTAAGGGAATTCAAAAAGGAGATCAATGCTTGATCCCGAAATGTTCAACACAAAAGTTCAGATTTCTGAGTGTGTTGTTTAATATTAAAATGGTTTTCCACGTTGCAAACTATCAATTTAGAGAAATTGCAACTCGTTGTCTATAAAAAGAGGACAATTTAATTAAACAGTGTGTAAAAATAAAAATATAATGTGCAATTTTTATTTAAACTTTACAAATGATTGCATCTTAGTCTAAATAAATTTGGGACAATTTGGCACTTTTTTGATAAAAATGTTAAAATTTGTGTCTTAAAATTTTTATATTAAAAAAGCAAAACATTACGTTTTTGTAAATAATAAATCAATAGTGCTAGCAAAAACATGTTTCGAAAACATTGAAAAATCGACCTCCCTTCGTGATTCTTGATTTTTAAAAGTGTTTGCGCTGATTCATTTTTTTAAATCAAAAAAAAGTTCATAATGTTAATTTGTAAGTTTAATGGAACAATTTTGGCTCAAAGTTGGTTAATTTAAAAAAAATATATTGTCTTGAGGTTTTTAGAATCATATACAAAGATCAACAAAATTAAAAGTTTTTAAAGTTGAAATTTATAAAGAAAAAATGGTTTTTAAATTTTGTTAAAGATCATTCACCTATTCTTTCTTAAGCTTTTAAGTTAAAATTTTGATTCTTTGATTTAGAATCCTTTTATTGTTTTTAATAGCAGATTTAAAACTTCTGATTTTGGAAAAGTTTGAAAATTACTTTTTGTTTTTATTTTTGCTTTTTTTTCCAATCTTCTTCTTTGTAAATAATTCACGTTAACTGTAGAGTAAAATATATTTCACTGAAACAACTTTACACAAATAGAAAACAGAAATAAAAACAAATCTGGAAAACAAAGGTTTTTTTATAAAATTATTTATAATTATGATTTTCTCCAATTTTTTGCATTTTCCCAAACAAGATGAGTTAAAAATGTTCATCATTTCTTCTCCTATTTCTTTAATCGGACACCTCTAAATGCAACCATGAATTATAGAGTATAGTTTTATTTTACTTAAAAATAAATATTTTCCCTTCCCTTGATTTAATTTAGAACATCAAAAAAGGAATCTGTTGATGTCCTAAATTCCAAGAAATTTTCACCAAATTCTATAAATATTATTGTTTTCTAATCATTCTTTAAAGAACCGTAAGCGTCGTACTTAAATGTGACCCTCCATGCAAAGATTTTCGTTTTTCTAGGTTTAAAGGTGTTTATTTCTGATAATTGATATTTGTTTTCCTGCAGTATAGAAAACTAACTTTTGTGGAGAAACCACAATTAAAAATAATCAGTTTTCATCAAAATTATTAATATTAATATCTTTTTAATACTTGATCAGACAAATCTTTTTAGGGTATCGTTGTGAATCGGGCATTGTCATCTTTGGGTCACTTTAAATTACGAATACAGTCCATTTAAATATTATGATGACTAGTTACTGTTAAATTGATCTTTAAAAAAACTAGCCCAAAATGGTCCGAAATTAAGGACCAAAAATAGAAATAAAAACTTCTCCGTTTAGGAAAATTCTAAAGTTTCGAATTTGGACTGTTTTTTAAATATAGTGACTGTCAGGTTTGAGGATAATTATCAGTTCTTTTTTGTGCAATTTTTTTATTTGGCTAGGAGGTGGATGAAGCCAGAACAATTGGTTCTGTTTGACTTTTCCGAATCTATATTTTAATAGTATTTGATTTAGATGATATTAAGCTGATTGAAGACTTGAGACTTCGTATTAGTAGTGAGCTGAAGAATGAAGACGATATTCCTCCAACATACATACTTTTCAGATGGCTGAAAGCCACACAGGTAGTTTGGTTATCATTACATTTCATTAACATTTTTAGCTAGTATATATACCATACATATAAATATATATCTGTTTGTTTGTTATAGCTGGCCAAACGGCTGAACTAAAATTTTTCAAGGAAACTCGACATAAGTTAATTTTTTTTTGGAAAATTTGAAATAATTCCCGGGCCAACGCCGGGCACTTTAGCTAGGTATTTAATAAAATCGTGACAAAATCTATCTAACAGTTAATTATTATTAAACAATGCAAAAAAAAACATTTTGTTGAATGTCAACCATAAATAAAATCAAAGATTTAATCTGTTTAATATAAGTTAAATGTTTTATCAGTTTCATAAATCCAATCAATAAATCAAACAATTTTAATGAAATAACAAACAGTATGGATTCATTTATTTAGAAAAAAATCAAAAATAATTTTCTAAACATTTCTTCTTGAAAAAATTATAGCGGATAAAAATGATTAGAATATAAAAAACATGTTTTTTCTAGTTCAATGTGGAAACTGCTGCTTCTATGTTCATCAAATCTCAGGTTTATCATAATTTACATAATTTTTTTCATATTATAGAACCAAACCAGCCCACCCCCGGGGGGGGGGGCTGGTTTTTGTCACAATACTCCTCTTAAAATGCATTTGTCTTGTGTTTCATGGTGAGAATGGACAAAATGAATATATCCTGATAATCTTTTCATTTACAAACATCCTTTCAATAGTAGCTTGTATTCCTTTCAATTTATAATTATTTTTCCCGTTGATATATTTATCCTTTAAATGGAACCTGTAACCCGCAATATATTTAGAATATGTGTGAACTATTTTGGAAAAATAACATATATTTTATAGCTTTCTTACACAAACAGGATAATCAAGATATATAAATAGATTCTAACAACCACTTTAAAAAGTTGTTGGGGCGTCGTCAGCCCGCCAAAGTATTATTTTTGCCTCTGATTCCTGTTTAAAATACCCATTGTAAGAGATTTTACGAAAAACACCAGCTTTCAGATCTTCAACACAGCATTACTATGACTTGCAGAGACTCCTCTAAAAAAATTAAAAGAATTCAATTTGATTAAGAATTCAATTTGATTAAGAATTCAATTTGATTAAGAATTCAATTTCCAAAAAGTATCACACTCCACTATCTCAATTCTAAGAACAAAATCATGAAGGGGGAGGTACAGTGTACATCCCAATCTATATTAGACAAAAATAGTCCAATCGGGAAAGGGATAAAACATATTTACTTCAGGAGTGGAGAAAACTGAGAGGAGTAGATCATATAATTAACTGGACTCCCCCAGAAGTTCTAAGGTAAAAAAATTAACTTTTTGCATAAAATGGCGATTAGTTTTTTATCCATGGATTTCTGACCGTTATTAAATATGCGTAGAAAACTTGGGAACAAATTTAATTAGATGACTCAAATCAAATCAGTTAAAGTTAAACTGTTATTTTTAATTTTTTATTAACGTCAAATCTAAAATTAATAAAATAAAACTTTTTTTAAATAAACATTTCTCAGTCTAGTTCTTTGTAATTTGAGGCTATGTCTTTACACCAAAGCGTGTTGCGAATTTTTATAGCACAGACAAGCTAGAAAATGGCCAAATTATTATAGTTTTCTGTTTTGTTTAGAAAGTTCTACCCTGGTGGTTTGAGCGGATATGATAAAGATGGCTGCCCTGTTTGGATAGTTCCACTGGGATCAGCAGATCTTAAAGGTTTTTGTACACTAATGTTGGGAAGGGGGGGGGGGATAGAGTGTAGTTTTATTTCTTCTCATATAATAATATAAAAACGGTTTACACAAGTGCGCTCAAATGTCTTCACTTCATAATTGAAAATAGTTTTTGAAAAAGAATTAGGATGGGGAGTGGAAGAATTCCCCCATCTTAAAATATACATTAATAGTGCTAAAGGGATGAGGGTTAAGTCAGAGTTTAGAGACATCTATATTCTATAATCCTTGCAACTTTATACACCCGTTTCTTTCTTCGGTCATTTCTTGTATCATTAAAAACAAAAGTGTGTTGAAAAAAACACAAAAAACTTCACTTTTTCTCCAGGTTTAATTAATACCCGATCATAATGAAATTAATTTCACATTGTCTCTAGGATATTAGAACAACATGGTTTAAAGTTTAAACATTATCAAATTTGGTCATCCTAGCTCTGAATAAATCTCTGAATAAATCTCTTGGGGATGGAACTGATCAGCCTATACCCTGCAAAACAAAACATTAACAAAGCTGTAGGAGGTAGATAACTGGCTTAAAAATTACAAGAATCTGTTTAAAGGTGTTCATATAACCCTAATACTCTAAACAGCTTTGTTAATTATCAGATTACATGTTCAGTGTGGAGTTGATATGACCCAAGAAGTCAAACCTTATAGAAATCCAACGTATAGAAACCGCTACGTATTTTCCGGGAAAACATTTTTTATATTTTTGAGAAATTAAATAATCAGTGTAAAGTAGATATAATGTTCATAAAATCCTTTTATTTAAATGGTAAAACGGAATTGTATGTAATCATATTCGCATTACTGGACAACTTTTTGTTATACTTTTAAGAATTTTTTTTCTAAAAATAAAACTGTAGATAACATTTTTATGAAATATTCTTTTAATAGTAACACGCAATTTTATGTATAACCATATGATCATTCATTTATGTTGTCAGTACATAATAAAATCTGGGGGACCTTGAACACAATAGAGAGCAGTACAAATATACATATTAAACTATTTTGCTCCTTTAATACCTAGGGTATGTTAAACAAATAGAAATTATGATAATGATAAGCCACAATGTTTTACAAAAACGTTTACTTTCTCAAAAATATAAAAAAATGTTCTCCCGCAAAATCAGGAGTTAATGTATCAGTTTTAGTTTTACAAGGAATATGGGATGTCTCTATACCTAACTTATTCTTTATCAAATATTTCGAACTATTTACTAATACTCGAGAAATATCAAACGGGGAGGGGTTGCAATATAATGGTAAAAAAGACTTGAATTCCAAAATTGATACCTGGCTTACTTAAATAAAATACTTTCACTTTTGAGTGGATTGCAATAGAAATACAACTTGAAAACGTCTCAGTTTTAGTTGCAGCTTATTACAGATCTAACAAATATTTCAGTATCAATAATTCATCAAATCACTTTGAACCATTTTTTAACGATTTATTATCCTTTTTAGAAATTTGCAATAACAGGAATTGCAAATCCTATATTTTCTCAGACACTAACATAGATCTTAAGCAACACAATGATGTTGTCAATGAGTATACTATGCAAATATTATCTTCAGACTTTATGCTTTTTTCATTTAAATTTCGCGGCCTCGCGATTTGTAAATATACAAAGTTTCCTAGACCATATTATAACCAATGATAACCCAAAAGATACAAACATTATCCTAAATATCCAATCGATTTCAGACCATAAAACAATATTTCTACCAATTATTCTTGATTTAAAACACAACGAAAATTCATTTCAAAATCTAAAAAAGGAATATGAATGATAATAATATAAAATCTTTTAAAACTGCACTTGAAAAAGAAAAATGGAATAAATCATTTTTATCTCAAACTGCAGAGATGGCGGCAATAGAATTTAATCAAACATTTTTCATGAATTTTGAAAAACACCACAAACAGTTTATATTATATATAATGTAAACAATAATTTTCCTTTGATTTATATTTTTTATATTTTTTTTAGAATTGGGGGGAAATATTCCCACAACCTTTTTTTTGGAGGTTTTAAAATATTTTATCATGAAACACTTAATTATGTATGTTTTTGGTTATAATTCATAAATAATTACTTACTTGCTTACTTACTTAACCTAATCAAAATTAGAATGAGATTACAGAAGAGTGGGACGGTGTGAGAAATAATAACTTAGTAATTCAGAGAAAATGCTTTGATAGCCTAGAAGGGGAATCTCATCTTATACACTCTCCTTAGATTATAAGAACTTCTTTCTTTTGAAACATCTAAGAAATTTAGCATTATTTAAAGGGAGTGTTCGCAAAAAAATGAAAGGGAGTAAGCTTGCGTCAAAAAAAAAATCCATGGTGATCGTTACTAATCTTATTTCTATCTGTTGCCTGTATTAGGAGAAAATTGTTAGAAACGACTCATACCAAAGAACGAGCGTCCATACAAAATCAGAAAGTTTCAATTTTCAATAATCATCAAAATTTCTTCGACGCATTTGTATATAGTTGATCTATATAATAAAACAAGATATTCATATAAATTTTCCCTCTGGCCGGCCAAATGGCTGGACCGAATGGACTGACATTTTTTGAGGAAATTTATTTTTTCCACGGGCAACGCCGGGCATTTCAGCTAGTATTTTAAAATATTTTTTATTCGTTTTATATGTGATGGAATTTTAACTACGTTACTTCATGGTTCCTAGTGGACAACAAATCATAATTAAACTTTTAAGGTCTTTTGACTTCGGTGTCGAAACAGGATTTTATAGACTACACAATTAGGTAAACGTTTTACTATCATTATTATTATTATTATTATTATTATTATTATTATTATTATTATTATTTATTATTATCATTATTATTAGTTGATTATTATTATCATTATTATTACTAACTATTATTATTATTATTATTATTATTATTATTATTATTAGAATTATCATTACTAGACTTTTATAGGGCCATCTTCTATTTCAATTTTTAATTGTCGCTCTATCTGAAAGCATCTTCTCTTTGTACAATATAAAACAATAACAAAAATATTCACAGATTTCATGATATTTTTTTTTGGAGTTTCAAAATTTTTCAAAAATCAAAAAATTTTGGAAAAAACTTTTTTAATTCTAAGCATCCATAAACCTTCCTTTGGGTAATGTGAGGTCCCACACAAAATTTGGGTCCAATCAGTTCAATCATTTGACGTTTAATGGACACAAACAGACAGACAATAGACAGGCAGTATATACTTAGCATATTATTACTATTATTATGATTATTATTATAACTATTATTATTGTTACTATCTTTATCATTATATTAATATTGTTGTTATATGTTGATATGAATAATATTCCAATAATACAGGTTGCTGGAGGTATCCCTGGTATTAATGAAGGAGAAGACTAGACAGCTGGGGAGTCCAGTCTACCAACACACCTTTATATTTGATATGGACGGATTCTCTTTCAGGGTAAACTGATATTCATACAGTGACACCTACAAAATTGTGGAATGATATAATACACAGCAACTGTGCGTTTGCAGTGTACACAGAATCGTTTTATTTTAAAATTTGTTGTTTTTCATGACATAACAAACATTAAATAAGTGCATAAGTTTACTTAAATATCGTCTTGACATTCCAGAGCTTTCAGGATCTCATTGTAAAAACAGATTTTGTAGAAAAAGATGAAAAAATTGCCAAAAATTCAATTGCAATGTTAATCTGGCTTGAAATTATTCTTCTATTTTCCTCGTTTTATTTTTCCTTTATAACAAAAATATTCTACATTTTTGCCTTTTCATTCACATACATTGCTTTTATTCAAATATTAGTTCATGAGTTTTGACATACAGGGTTACACACAAAGAATGAAATTTCAGAAATGTACAGAAATGTAAACTTGTTTTTTTTCTGGTCAAATCATTATGTTTACAATTTAAATACTTTATTCAAGGCAAAAATTTCACCCTGAAATCTACTTGTATCAAATGATATTAAAATCCCTGATCCCATTCTTTTAGTGTTTCCCCTGTAAATATGAATTCTTAAATAATAATGTTTGCCAGGATGCGACCTATGCTCCTACAATAGAAGTGGTCCAAGCTTTGATATCTGTTTATGAAGGTCAGCCAAACATCAATTAGAAAATACGTAATCTTTATTCTTAACGTAACGTAATTTTAAGTGACCCTGACCTACATGTGAACGTACATGGCACTACCTGATTTACAACGGTATCCTTAAAACCTTTGTCTAATCACGTATGAATGAGATATGCATGCTTTTGTTTATTTAAACTGTTTATTTTCATTTACGGTTTCTCTGTGACTTGCACATTTCTTACTTTTCAGAAAAAATGGAGAAGTTAGATTAATGGTTTGAGTTAAGGGTACCATTGTAAATCAGGCATTGCTTTTTTTGCATGGAGGGTCACTTGAAATTACGCTTACAGTCCTTTTAAATATTTTTTCGGTTCTTGTCATGAACTATAAGCTTTTATTCTATATTGAGGTAATTTATCAACCTGTTATTCAAATTTCAAATTTCATACCTAATATTTCCCGTTGTAGGTTGATAAAGTTACTTTATCACCCTTAAATGCTTCCTTATTTTCAGAGTTAAAGATAAAACTATTTTCAAATTTGTCAAGGAATGTTATTTCACAATCAACACCATTTATCCTTAAGACATGAGTAGTGTTTCCAACCGCAAGTGGATTTTACTTGCGCGCAATTCCGTAATAATTGCGCGCAATAAACGCAACGGAATTGCACGGAATTGTGCGCAATGTACTAATGTACTGTAATGTTTAGAGTTAAAGGAGAGATATATCTGGAATGTTTGTTCAAGGGAACTAATGTACTGTAATGTTTAGAGTTAAAGGAGAGTTATATCTTGAATGTTTATAGTTCAAGGGGACTAATGTACTGCAATGTTTAGAGTTAAAGGAGAGTTATTTCTGGAACGTTTATAGTTCAAGGGGATTAATGTACTGTAATGTTTAGAGTTAAAGGAGAGTTATTTCTGGAATGTTTATAGTTCAAGGGGATTAATGTACTGTAATGTTTAGAGTTAAAGGAAAGTTATTTCTGGAATGTTTATAGTTCAAGGGGACTATTGTACTTTAAGGTTTAGAGTTAAAGGAGAGTTATTTCTGGAATGTTTAAAGTTCAAGGGGACTAATGTACTGTAATGTTTAGAGTTAAAGGAGAGTTATTTTTGGAATGTTTATAGTTGATGGGAACTAATGTAAGCTGTAATGTTTAGAGTTAAAGGAGAGTTATTTCTGGAATGTTTAAAGTTGAAGGGAACTAATGTACTGTAATGTTTAGAGTTAAAGGAGAGTTATTTCTGGAATGCGTATAGTTCAAGGGGACTAATGTACTGCAATGTTTAGAGAACTATCCTGAGACCTTGAAAGCTGCTTATGTTATAAACACTAGCAAATTATTCCAGATCGTCTTTAATATTATTCAGGTAAAATTCCGTAAATATTTTACTGTCCTAATGGATACGGCGTCGGTTTCCTAAGCCAAAGATTGTGAGTTCGAGTTCCACCGTGGGTACATCTATCTCGTGGACTGAATATTGTTTTACACGATACAAAAATATAATTTATCAATCCTCATTCTTTTGCATCCTGAGCTGGAAACTATTGTCCCGTTTGCTTAATCTTAATATCCACGGTAAGCACTTTTGATTTGCTGCTTAATCCCTACGTGGTTCCAATCCAACAAATGTTCTCTAATTTAACATATAAATTTGGAAACTTAGAACCTAGAAATATTTCAGAAGTTAATTTAGTCTTCATAAGATAATTTTTGCTTTCAGTGATTTATTTTGTAAGTTATGAAAGTGAGTTTTGTTTTAAATTGTGGATTGTACTCAATAACGGGAAAGTGGGTTTTGTCTCGAAAACGCGACTATGTTTCAAATTCAGAATATGTTCGAAAATGGAAAACCTAACATTGTTTTAAAAACGGTAAGAGCTTTAGTATAAAAAGAACTCCTATTATAATTTTGATTTTAAAAAAAGTTTTAAATTGGGAATTGTTGTCCTCGTCATCTTTAATAAAATGTTGGTTATAGTTTTTATTATCGACTTTTACTCTGGATATGGGCCAGGATCCCAAAAACCCAGTCTTTAAATGTGTGCCCATTTCTTACACTCAGTGTTAGAAATGGGCCAAGTGTTAGTTTTGAAACTAATGTCCCCTGTATTATTTCAAACTTTCAATTCTGTCAGATCAAGCAGTCAGAACTCAGAGTTCCTTCAGGTTACAAACAGGGATAAACGGAATAGAATTTGAGGCGATCAATTCTAAGAAGAAAAAAGCATATAAAAAATGGCATATTTCAAATCAGGCGCGCAACTAGGGGGGGGGGGCAATGCCCTCCCTAGCCGGATTAGGGGAGACATGCCCCTCCCTTAAGAAGGCTTTCCCCCCCTGTAAGGGGGGGGGGGTCAAGAAGTCCACTTTGTTTGCAATTTAGCGATTCATGAATTTAAGTATATTTAGAGTATTTTCATATATATTTTCACTTATTATGACTAAGCTTTAATACTGTAGTTCTTGTAGCACAACTTAAATTAATCCTACATGTTCACCGCAAATATTGTGTGATGTGTCATATAAAAAAATATTTTTCGTTTAAAGTCATGTTTTTTTAATGAAATGCATTTCTTGTCAGTGTCTGAGTACAATGTACATATTTGATTTATGGATAAATATTATGTATATATATATATGTATATGTAAATTGTAAATTAATTAATATTGTGATTTATATTAACCAGAATAGATTTCTTTTTTTATTTCATATGAGATATGTTGACTGACTGAATATCCGGTTGGTGACGTGAGTTTTTTATTGTTTGAATATAATACACATGTTTTTGCCACCCCCACCCCCCTTCTAAGGGGGGGGGGGGCAAAATTTCTTTTTCCCATCTTGCTCCCCTCCATCAAATGTCTAGTTGCGCCTGTTTCAAATAACCTTGTCAATCTTCCATTGAATGATAGAATTGATAATTGATATTTTTATTTTTATCTTGAATTTTGAATTTGTGCACCTCAATGATTTTGTAATTTGGCTTTTTTATTACTTTTTATTTGTTTAATCTCCTGTTGTGATTTTAATTCTCTTATTTCTTACTAATGCATATGGAAGAATATTTAATTTCTTGATCTAAATCTTGAATTAAATCTGCATGGATCACAGAGGGAGGATAAGTAATTATCCTCCCTGTAAAGAGGGAGGATAAGTAATCATCCTCCCTGTAAATAGGGAGGATAAGTAATTATCCTCCCTGTAAATAGGGAGGATAAGTAATTATCCTCCCTGGAATTAAAAAAGGAGGGAATTTAAGGTTGGTTATTTCGTTGAACAGGAGATCATAACTATTAATTACTACTTAACCGGGAGATTTAGGGAGGATAATTAAATTGAGGGGAAAACCACTTAGCCGAGGGCCTCCAAGACCTTTTTGGGGTTCTAAACCTCACGAGCGTAGTAGTGGTTTTCCCTTCAATTTAATTATCCTCATGAAAACTATCGGTTAAGTAGTAATTTATCGTTATAGTGATAAACTTAACAATAAAGACAGAAAAGATTAAGTGAAATAAACCATTGAATAAAAAGATATTGATGTATGAAGTTTAACATGGTAACAACTACCAACTATTTTTAAATGTGGCTTGTTTGCCTGTCTGTTTAAAACAGCTAAACAAATAGGACCCACATTTTTTGTGGCAACTCACACAACCCCATGGAAGGTTTATGGATGGCTAAAAATGAAAAATTTCACCAGGATAATTGTCTATTTCTTTTTACAATTATGAAGAAAAATGGCCTCCTGGAAAACAACATTCAAACGCTTAAATTATAGCTAGAAGGGGGGCACGAAGCGCTCTGAAAGCCTATAGTTTTTTAATTTTAATTTCAACTTTATATTCTAAATGATGGCTTATTTTAGCATTAAACATTTTATAACAAATTGTATAGATATGCTCTAAAAGTTTATTCTCTTTATCCAATGTTAAATTTTAAACTTTGAAAGAAATTTTTAATTTTTGGATTTTGTTCAATAGTCTTTTCATGTTGAGCAAAGAACCTGTTTTCCTTAATATTATATCTTAGGGGAAGGATGCCCCCCCTGAATAAATGTTGGTGAGTTATATTTTAGATTTCCAAGAATGTCCTGGCCCCTTGACTTTGACACCGACTGCCTGTGTTCTCATAAATTGGTTTTTTTTATTGTTTTTAAATTTTCTTCGGATTGGAACCTAAGACCTTTTAAATAATCTACTTTTTCATAATTGGAAACTGGATTAAGAAGCGGAGAAGTCATTTCCCNCCGGATTAAAACTTTAATTTAGACTTCAAACAAAAAGAATAAGTGAAAAAACCGCAGGATAACACAATTGTAGGGGTTTCAAAGAATTTATCGTTGAACGAAATTTGAGAAATTTTCGCGAATTTTGATGTATTTTCGTCGAAATTTGAAAAGCCTAAACACAGGGCATAGTGTTCATAAATAGACATTTTCTCTTCTCAGCTAGAAGAAAAAAGGTTACATTAAAACAAACTTTAGAATCTTTTCTAGGATTCTTTAGGAAATTTTCAAACTATATAAGTTGGTTCGGATACAGAATTGTGTGGCTGATATTTCCTCTTTTTCCATCACTTTCTCTCGATACCTCCTCTCTAAACTCATCTTTGATCATTTAAAGTAGTTCCCCCCTCAAACCCTCTTTATAGTATTATTTTCCTCTTCTTCAACATATTTGAAACTAAATAAGATAATTATTCTAATAAGGTTTTAACATTCGAAAGCATTTTCTAACTGAAACAAAAATGTTCTATCAATTTGAAACAAACAATACAAAACAGACAAAAACTAAAATAAACTGAGACCAAGAAAACTTCAATAGGAAAGAAACCATGATTATTTTCAAATAAGAGAAATGCAGTTTTGCAGTTTCTATACATTCAGTTTGTTTACATTTCTTCCGCGGAAACTCACAGATCTTCGTTCCAAGTGAATATATTTCTTGGATGGAACTATCCAAGTGTATATTCCTTGTATGGAACTGTTCCAAGTGTAAATATTTCTTGGATGGAACTTTTTCAAGTTTATATTCCTTTGATGAAAAACTATAAAGAAAATTTTAGAATAAACTGTTGATAAATATATCATTGAAAATTCCTTCTTGTGAGATTATTGTGATATACATAATACAGGGTGTCCCACGAAACATGCCAGTTGGTGAATAGTCTTGGTAAATGTCTTCTTCCATAATTTGTTAAGTTGTTTTATACTAATGAGAATAACAGTCATATCTTGTAAAATTGACTTCAAAGTAAAACATATTTGAGTAAAAGATTTTATTTACAAAATAAACTGCAAAAAGTATCTTGAAAAAGACATTCAAAACTATTCACCAAGTGTCATAATTCGTGGGACACCCTTTACATATGACTGATATCCTATTTCTAGGTCCTTCTAGAACAGATAGAGAGCCAGAACCTACCGGAGAAATGGGGCGGAACTAGAGAACTGGGACAGTTGTCAAATGAACCGCATGCGGTAAGAAAAAGTGTAAATATTATCTTTATACAGAGCGTGGTATGTAAATTAAATACTACATGATAAAGGTACAGCTAGGCAAAATTTAAGAAATCGTTGAACGAAACTACCGAGTTTACTTTTTGGGGTATTATACAATTTCATTTCCGTAGAGTTTAATTTAGGAAATTTTGAAACATAAAGAGAAACAAACGAAACCACAAGAAATAATATTTCTTAACAAAATATCGGTATCTACTACCTCCCTGGCCTAACCCCATTCATGAAACTGTGTTTCCAATACTAAACTCCGATACTGAACGATTCTCTGTCTCAGGCTCGGAGGAAAAGGGGTTGCAGTACATATTTGACTAGGGGAACGTTCAGAGTTTATTCAACCTGTTTGCTATCGATTAGCTAAAATCGTTTATAAAACAAAATGAGCACATATCAATTAATTTTTAACTGAAACATGCACGTTCTCTTCAGTTCCCCTGCAGAAATAGAATTAAACCTCTTATACTTAAACTGTGAAAGGATATAATATATAAAAGCAGGAACAATAGAAAATATATAAGGACAGAAAAAAAAATTTCTTGGGAAATACTCAATCTTTCAGAAAAGTTATATCTTTCAGACACTAAAACTTAGATTCAAGAATTACAAAGGATTTCTCTTCTTTTCTGTTTTACCCTATTCCTGAGTCCTCAGCACACTGCCTTAATTACTACTTTTTCCTGTAACAAACTAAATCTTTCTTTTGACCCACTTCCAGATTTTGATTTTCCTAGCTTATTGGAAAGCCTTTGACATAAGGGGAAGTGGATTGCACAATTTTTGCAAAGAAATGCTTCAATTCTTTGCATACACCCTGTCAGAAGAAATTTTCAAATTTTTAGTTTTTCTTAATGACCAATTAGGTTATTTAAAATTTTACGAGAAGTTTTACATATTTGAAATGGGATGGTCAAGAGCTTTTCAAAAATGTATATTTTATTATTTTTTGGACATTTGTTGTTTTGCAAAACTTTTTTACTATATAACTGGATTTTGAAAAAAATTACAATTTTTTTCAAATTTGCAAATTTGTTTGCAGATTCCAAAAGTATTGCACAATAGCTTTCCAATGATTTATCATTTGTCATATTTGGACATCAAACATGGGATTTACAAGGGGGGGGGGGTTAAATTGACCCCTCCCCCAGCGTATCCCAGTTTTCAAGTACCCCAGCAGGGAGGGTTAAGTAAAAACTGAATTTCAAAAAACCTAAAATGAGAGATTTACAGGATTGATTGAATCGAATAATCGGAGCTGCAATGTTTGTAAGTTTAATATTGTTCAGGCAACTGTAAACCAAAGAACATTGCAGAAAATCAAGGTGTTCGGGCTGCAGAACTGGAAACAGGTATAAACAGGTTTCAAGGGACTGTAAGCGATATTTCAATCGACCCTCCATTTCTAATTGTACTCATTAGTTAACAGGATTCTTTTCTTCCAAAAAAGATTGCGTTAGTGTTATTCTCACAAACGCGGGTTTTGTAGTGTTTTTGTGAATTTTAAAACACGTGTTTTGCACATTTTTAAATAGAATATAGAATACAAATATTAAACGAATAGAAAAATAGGAGAAAGGGCGCATCCCAAAAGTCTAAATAATTGTTTCATAGTTGTAAATGATGTAGGTTCTCCAATTTCCTTGCTCCATTTTAATAGAATAAATTTATATATTTTACCCTCATTTTATCATTTAGGATAATTTGCTATTTTACTGAGATTTTATTTTATATTTGTCTTTTTCTGATTATATTCAAGTAATTAATCCCTTCCCCTTTCCCGGATTAAAACTTTAATTTAGACTTCAAACAAAAAGAATAAGTACATCCTTCTCCCATCCCTCTCTGCAAACAATGTCCAATACTCTTCAATTAATAATTTTCTCTTTATTCAGGGAGACATCTGTATGGGAGGGGAAGTGCCTCTCTACTATAAATCAACTACGAAAAGTATAGACGATGTGAAAGGTAAAGAATATTGAGAAAAAAAGACTTTTTTAATTTAATTTAATTCTTAAAATAAAAGGTTCTCTGAAAAAGACAATTCTACTAATTCATTTAAATATTTTAGTCATGTTTAAATTTTAAATCCTCTGCCCAATAATCCAGTCAGCCATATACGGTGGTAACAATAATAATAATAATAATAATAATAATGATAATGACAATAATAGTAATAATAATAGAAAAAATAATAACAATAATAACAATAATAAGAATAACAATGATAATGAGTTATCATTAAGGTTTGAACTCTATTTACAAGCAGAGTATAGTTGCTGGTTCCATCTTTACTCTCAAATACCCTGTCAGGAATTGTTTTAAATTGCTCAAAATCTAATCTGATATTCTAAATGAACGCTTTACTGTTATGTTTAAAACGTACAAGATTCAAGTATGTCCTAACCTGGGAACATTTGTGCTAGATACTCAAAATCCCGATAGCTAGATATCGATATCCATAATAGGCACTTATAATTTGAGGATCAGTAAATTCAGTTTAACTATAATTAAGGGACTAATCATTTGTGCTTAAATTTAAAAGTGAACAAATTGAATATCGAGATCAATCGAGTTGAAGATTAACGATGCTTAACACAAAAGTTCCGAAATCAGGACTACTGAGTTAATCCGATGTATCGGTTTTATTTATGCCAGACAAGTGGTCCAGTTGAATTCCCTTTATTTAAAGGGGAGGGAGGGGGGGGGTAAAATTCGTCTTTGTGACACCAAAACAACTTACCTCCGGAGTTCAAAATATGAAATCAATTAAAAAAAAGTTATGTGAACGCAATCGCATAGGTTTTACGTGTTTCGATTCCATTCTGATCAAAGATGGTCCTGAAGGTATTTCACCTCCAAATATCAATGACATCCGGAGGTCAAAATTTAAAATCAATTAAAATAAGTGATGTGAGGTGTAGATGATCACGAAGGTCCTTGATCTTCATATTTTAATGACCTGGGGAGGTCAAAACATAAAATCATTGTAGTGTAAGGTCTAACCATGCACTATAATGTAAAACATTTGTTTAAAAGTAAGCTTTGCAAATTTATTTATCCCAAATTTTCTAGTTTTAATGTATGATGAAACTTACTCTATCAAAATTACACTAAAAATCCATTTAAACGATTTAAATATCAGAGTGCAGAGTAATCTAATCTGGAAGTTTCGAATAGAAGGAGGAGAAATAGAGTTTGGAATACAACGAAGAAGGTAAAGAATTGTCTTGATATATGTGTATGTACCAAGGCTGTATAATAAGGTTGCTTACTCTCGATGCGCTCTAATGTACGGGACATGTCGTCTCCCAAGCATTGATAGATAAAGTACTCAGATGACATCACTGATCATAGAGGTGAGCGTGACGTCATATGAGGATTTTATCTATCTATAGGAAGGAGACGAGGTTAGTCATTCTTGCAAAAAAAAAATCTGTATTAAAAATATTCGCAGATTTTCAGTAATGACCAAAATCTGCATTTTTTTGGGGAAAACTGGAATTAAAGTTATATTGTGATTTTTTAACATCCATTTTGACTTATTTAGGATCAATCCTCATTTAATCATTTTATAAATCTTGGTAAAAAAGGTGTGATTTATTTCAACTTTTTTATCCTCTTAACACATTTTTTTGGACTGAAGAAATAAATGAATATTGTGGATTTTCAAAAAAATATATTTTCCTTTGCTTTAAGATTGTCTGCTGTATATTTTAGTGACACTTCTGAAATGCATTTTTTGCAAAAAAAAAATATTTTGCACCCTCTTAAAATACATTTATAGGAAACTTTAAGTAAGGGATATCCGATATAAAGAAGAAACAATAGAGTTATCCCGCCCTAAATTTCAAATAATTAAAAGATTATACAATTAAATTATACGTTGAGATATCTTAAGCATTGTGATTTTTGATTTAAATTTAAAATAAAGTTATTTCTTATATTAAATCTAAAAATATATTTTAAAAATATATTCAAAAAATATATTCAAAAAGATATATTTAAAAAATACATTCAAAAAATATATTTAAGAAAATGATTATGGAAAATATCTGGAACCTGAAATGTGAACTATGTAAGAAGAGAACATGATAACTTCATTATATATAATAATAGTACTTAATCAAGGGTTTACACAAACAATATTAATATATAGACAGGGAAATCATAAACAAAATGTTTGAAAGAAACCAGGCAAAGAGTATGCAGAACATATACTCTTCCATTACGAAATAATATGGAAAATTAAGGAAAATTTTGAAAACGAACAAATTCAAACTTTTTCAAGCAACTAATAACAATAAAATGATCTTAACGAACAATAAACAAACGAATTGAAAAAGCCAACGCTTCCATCTTTACTCTCTCCAATTACTACTATCATGTCTACTATCTACTCTAATATCGTCATGATCTTTTTTCCCTCATTTAAGAATGCAAAGTAATATAACACATCCACATAAGGTTCTAATCTGAAAATTGATTATTGGTGAAGTAATTACATGCAATGAACAGAATTCAGTAAATCTAACAAATAAACCTGATATTAGATTGGTGGAAGAGGATTGAGAAAAGAAACCTTGCTACAAATAAAAAAATATATATTTATATTTTCTAATATTTTCAGAGTCAGATCTGTAGAAGAAAGTCCAGACTCCAAAAGTTCGTTGAATTCTGGTAAGCAAAGAAAATATTTAGAAATTTAAAGGGAGTGTTCGCGAAAAACAAAGGGGGATTAGGATGATATCAAATTAAATTCGATATTGATCCTATCCGTAGCGTCCAAAAGGAAAAATGGTTAAAAATGTCCTCTACCCAAGAGCGTAGCGTCCATCAAAATTCACAGAGTTGCGTTATTTCACTCAGATCGTGAATACTATAGATAGAAAGATAGATAGATAGATAGATAGATATAGATAGATAGATAGATAGATAGATAGATAGATAGATAGATAGATAGATAGATATTACCGCAACAAGGAAACAAGAAATTGGATTCTTTTAGATATATCCTAGAAGTATAAATGTTTTTTATCTTTATCACGTTCACAATATTTTATTTTACAAATATATCTATTTTCTATTTCTACATCCTGATGCTTTGTTCGTAGAAGAACCAGAAGTGCCTGCCTTACCTGAAAATGAAGCTCAGAGTTTTCAAAAGGTAAAAATATTAAAATAGAAAGAAAAAAATTGATAATAATTTTTTTTTAGAAGAAACCCTCAACATCGACAAATTCTGAAAAAGGTAGAAAATAAGAAATGATCAAATTTTTTAATATAAGTCCCTTTGTCCTTGAAACTTCAGAAGATTTAGATTTTCTTATTTAAACAAAATCATTAATCCCAACTTTTTAAAAGAAATATACAAAATATTTATCCATCTATTACAGATGTGATTGGTGCCCTAGACCAACCATCTGTAAACATGGATGAAAAAGAAACCAGCACTACCTCGCCATTGAAGGAACAAGACGAGTCTCAGTCAGCCCCTAGACACAACCCACTCCTAGACTCTAGCAGATACCAAGAGCCAAGTGATCTCAAGAAAGCAATAACAGACCAGCTGACCTCGGAGCTAGTTCTCATGAAGAAAGAGAGTGACGCCTTGAAACAGATTAAGGATAGAACAGAGGAGAAGATTGATTTGTTTGATGAGACTGACGAAGATGAAAATATTCCTCTGGAGAATATTTTTCAGAAAGTCAAGGTTATTTTGTTTTCTCGTCTTTCCACAACATTACCGACCTATATGATTCCCTTATCAGAGGAACGTTATGTTACTTAACGTTCCTTAGAACTATTAAGTGAAATAACGACCCGCTCGGCGACGTTTTCGTGAACATTTTCGCGCTGTTTTATTCAAACAATTATATAATTAAAAACTTACTCGCTGCGCTCTGGATGATTTGAAAGCAAAATTGGTCTTGGTAAAGTAAAATTCTCCTAATTTCCCTTGAAAGTAGTTAACTAGAAATTAATCACAACGTTTCCTGAACAACATCAATGAACAAAATTTTGTGATTAAAACCACAATGATAATGATGATGATAATGATCATGATGACAATGATGATAATGATGATGATGATTAAGGTGTTGAGCAAGGATTCCCAAGGGGGGTGCTTGACTTGTGATCCTGGGTATGTGTACACACTCACATTTGATAACAGGTATACAAGAAATACAATATCACAGAACAGTACAAACGGCGTTCAATACTTTATTATAACACACATATAAAAGGGAGTGTTTTGCGAAAAATGAAAGGGTTCTGGGGTAGTGGGCTGATCACGATTTGAATTTGGTTTTGTGCTGGTCGCTACTACTTTTTCTTCTATCTGTTGCGTCCATAAGAATAAAATACTTAAAAACGTAGTATACCTAGAGTGTAGAACCTATATTAATTCATGAAATTGCATTATTTACCCCAAACCGTAATTTAATCAAGTAAATTTCGTTCAAAGTACTTCGTATGTGAAAAAAAATAATAAAAATTATGATTTGAAAACTACAAACGAATGTCCTAAAATAAATTTGACATTTATAACTTGTAATATCCACCTTCTTTATCCATATCCAGGTTGGGGTTTTTATCTAATATATTGATGCATATAAAAACATGATTATTGCAAATTTTGTTCTTCACTATAGGTTGTGTAAACTGTAAAGTCAAGCATGGTGCCATTTTTTAGGAAGAGTTATAGTAAAAGCAGCGTACAAACGAGATTTTATTATTCTAGAATGATTAGCCATTTATTGAAAAAAAAAAATTCTTTTTTTGACAATTTTCGGATAAACTGTTGTAGCACAGTCAATCGTGAAGGGTTTGAAGTCTCAAAACGAAGTTTTTTAACTCAAATTCTTCAAGACTGTTTTGATCATTTAAAATTTTCCTTGAAAACGCGTAGAGGAAAGTATGGAAGAAAAAGGCTAAATATTTGTTGCCAACCTTTGCTAGGCCCTGATGAAAGTTGTTGTCCAGCAAAGATCAATTTTTATGTTATGATTGCAAATTAAAAAGCAAAAGTTTGACATCGTCTTTTAAAATGACCGAACTATGGTTTATGTATTGGGCCAAAATGTGGGGTTAAAAAAATTATACTCAAACATTATCTGGTGTTTGAACAATGACTTCCACAATGGTATTAGACTTCAAAAAAGCTTTAACAATTCGGTCCTTATTCCAGCAAGCTCTGACTTTCGATCACAATTTAGCCATTTTAACATAATTTTTGGGTTTTATTTAAAAACAACTCTTCAACTTTAAAGATGGGTGAACTATAGACCAAAACAGGGTTGAATTTAATTAGAAGAAACACAACGCATCTTTAACAAAATATCCGAATATGGTCGAATGGAAAACGCCCCCCCCCCCCCCAACCGTAGGATAATATCATACTTGTGTATACAGTGTCTATCCACTAACAAAATTCATTTTAAAAATAATGTGTTATTATTATTATTATACTTTTAAATCTAATTAACTATGATTTTAGGAGATATAAAGATTATTTACAAAATGAAAATTTAAAAATCAAAAATATCTTTTATTTAGTGAGTCAATGTTTCGGTCAAGGAAACTATTCTACTCCGTTAATCTAGAAGATACTCTCAAGGAAAAACAAGTTTATTATTTCTTTAGTCCTATATAACCCAGAACTATATAAAATGTTGTTTTCTATACCTACTGATAATTCATATAGTTTTTTAATTGAATAATTTATGCATGGGAGTACTTACAAACTGTTCCCGTATATTTCCTGGCTTTTTGTATATCTTTACAACTACAGTGATTTAGATTTAGATATAATAGTAAAAACCCATTGAAAAGTTGTTGAGGAGACATTTATAAATTCTTTAGATGTTTCCTAATTTCTAGATTTAAGTGCAGATTGTTTGAGCCATGAAATTCACTGCAAACTATACTGAAAGGGTGGGTAAACTCGTCTTTGCCACGTCCCTGGTACAACTTTGAGACCTTGTAACTTCTCTTGCTTTGATCTTCCGTGAGAAAACCAAAGTGATTCTGTTACATATTAGAAATTCAAAACAGTTTTATTCTGCTCAATAGTCCTTCAATAATAGGAGTTATGAATTAAAACATTTAAGATTCCAATCTTACATGCAATTTACCTAATAACATTTGACGTGAATTTTGATTTTTCTAAGAACTAAGCGCTCTTCTGTAAGCAATAAGCATTATTAATTCATACAGTTTGTGTTTAAAGGAGAAGAAAAAAGAGAAATGGCGAGCAGACCATATTTGGTTTGGTATTGCTTCACAAACGGGGGTTGTTTTTACTACACTTTAACATGTAAATTCAACACTCTTTAGGTTATGAAATTTAATCATTTACTATTTTTAATCAATTTTCTTAAGAATTTCCTACTTTTGCATAATATCAATTAACAATTGGAAAATAAAGATGAAAACAAGTTGTTTGATCAACTTCATTATGTTAGGATTATATCAATGATATTCAACTAAAGTTAATTTTATAAAAGTACAGTAGGATGTCCTATAAGCTGTAAAAGTACAGTAGGATGTCCTATAAGCTGTAAAAGTACAGTAGGATGTCCTATAAGCTGTAAAAGTACAGTAGGATGTCCTATAAACTATAAAAGTACAGTAGGATGTCCTAGAAGCTGTAAAAGTACAGTAGGATGTCCTATAAGCTGTAAAAGTACAGTAGGATGTCCTATAAACTATAAAAGTACAGTAGGATGTCCTAGAAGCTGTAAAAGTACAGTAGGAGGTCCTATAAGCTGTAAAAGTACAGTAGGATGTCCTATAAGCTGTAAAAGTACAGTAGGATGTCCTATAAGCTGTAAAAGTACAGTAGGATGTCCTATAAACTATAAAAGTACAGTAGGATGTCCTAGAAGCTGTAAAAGTACAGTAGGATGTCCTATAAGCTGTAAAAGTACAGTAGGATGTCCTATAAGCTGTAAAAGTACAGTAGGATGTCCTATAAGCTATCAAAGTACAGTAGGATGTCCTATAAGCTGTAAAAGTACAGTAGGATGTCCTATAAGCTATACAAATACAGTAGGATGTCCTATAAGCTTTAAAAGTACATTAAGATGTCCTATACGCTAAAAAAGTACAGTAGGATGTCCTATAAGCTGTAAAAGTACATAAGGATGTCCTATAAGCTAAAAAAGTACAGTAGTATTTCCTATAAGCTATAAAGTACAGTAGGATGTCCTATAAGCTATAAAAGTACAGTAGAATGTCCTATAAGCTGTAAAAGTACAGTAAGATGTTCTATAAGCTATAAAAGTACAGTAGGATGTCCTATAAGCTGTAAAAGTACAGTAGCATGTCCTTTAAGCTGTAAAAGTACAGTAGGATGTCCTATACGCTATAAAAGTACAGTAGGATGTCCTATAAGCTGTAAAAGTACAGTAGGATGTCCTATAAGCTGTAAAAGTACAGTAGGATGTCCTATAAGCTGTACAAATACAGTAGGATGTCCTATATGCTATAAAAGTACAGTAGAATGTCCTATAAGCTGTAAAAGTACAGTAAGATGTCCTATAAACTGTAAAAGTACAGTAGGATGTCCTTTAAGCTATAAAAGAACAGTAGGATGTCCTATAAGCTGTAAAAGTACAGTAGGATGTCCTATAAGCTGTACAAATACAGTAGGATGTCCTATATGCTATAAAAGTACAGTAGAATGTCCTATAAGCTGTAAAAGTACAGTAAGATGTTCTATAAGCTATAAAAGTACAGTAGAATGTCCTATAAGCTGTAAAAGTACAGTAAGATGTCCTATAAACTGTAAAAGTACAGTAGGATGTCCTTTAAGCTATAAAAGAACAGTAGGATGTCCTATAAGCTGTAAAAGTACAGTAGGATGTCCTATAAGCTGTACAAATACAGTAGGATGTCCTATAAGCTATACAAGTACAGTAGGATGTCCTATAAGCTGTAAAAGTACATTAAGATGTCCTACAAGCTGTAAAAGTACAGTAGGATGTCCTATAAGCTGTAAAAGTACAGTAGGATATCCTATAAGCAGTAAAAGTACATTGTAATGTCCTATAAGCAGTAAAAGTACATTAGGATGTCCTATAAGCTGTAAAAGTGCAGTAGGATATCCTAGAAGCTTTAAAAGTACATTAAGATGTCCTATACGCTAAAAAAGTGCAGTAGGATGTCCTATAAGCTGTAAAAGTACATAAGGATGTCCTATAAGCTAAAAAAGTACAGTAGTATTTCCTATAAGCTATAAAGTACAGTAGGATGTCCTATAAGCTATAAAAGTACAGTAGGATGTCCTATAAGCTGTAAAAGTACAGTAGGAGGTCCTATAAGCTATAAAAGTACAGTAGGATGTCCTATAAACTGTAAAAATCGAGCTCAGGGAAAACAAATTTATTTACAGGTTTATTTTTCTATTTTCCAAAGGCTTCATAAGAAATGTATTTTTATATTTAGAGAAAAATAAGATCTTTGGCGTGTAAACAATATAAAAAATGAGTAATTCTAAATTAACTTAACGAGAAAAAGACTTTATTATAAAATAAAATAAATAAAGAGATGGCTGTAAGTAAGAGAAAATGTCAAATATTGTGAAAGGAAGTATTCTTAAAATTATTTTTTCTAATATCCTCATAAGATAATTAAAATTAAACTTGATATCCCTATTGCGGAATCTCGCAGTTATTAACAATTAATCCATCTGCACCAACATTTAATAGTGTAAGTGCTTTCAAAAGCAACTAACACTCGCACCTCTGACCGTTTAGTGAAAATAAATTAAACCTAATGTCTGACCGCGTCAACCTTGTTGCACCGGGTAGTCCTATCAAGTGTCTGCTTTATTTACCCAGTCCGGGTGATACAGTATACAAACTGGGTTGACCCCGCTTGGAAATTCAAATGTACTATAACGGCTGTCCATGTACTTGCTGTTTCTCGCCAATCCCGGTACAATGGTTCGGTCCGGTTCGAATTCAAATTGACCCTACTAGACTATGACTACAAAATGCAGTAAAATTAGTTTCCACAAAAATAAAGTTTTTTAATTAAATTTCTTAATCTTGTTGAGTTCAGAAGAAGGAGGACACTGTAATAGCTGAAACAGGTAATAATTAGACAAATAGTATAGACAGACAGACAAATAATTAGGCAAATAGTATAGACAGACAGACAAATAAATAGGCAAATAGTGTAGACAGACAGATAAATAAATAGGGAAATAGTATAGACAGTTTCATGGAAAAGAACTGGGTATAGTTGCATGATTTATTGTAAAACAAGGGTGCTGATCTATAGGCTGATAAATGTCACCAAGGCCCTATGGAGTATCTTGGTGAGGTCTTCTTAGGATTGGTTCTCAATCTGGAGTGCCGCTATGTATATTCCTTCTGTTGAATATCTGAGCTCTCTTCATCTATATTTAGATACTTAGCAAGGTTCATTATTAGGAATATAACATAGAAAATTATTAATAAATATACAAATATAAATATGTTCAATAACCACAGGTTATGAACAGTAAATGAACATCTCAATACATTTTATATATAACATTGTTTAAACCCTGTTCATCCCCTTCTTTCTCAACTCTGTCACAAGACAGACAGGCAAATAAATAGACAAATATTAGAGACAGACAGACAAAAAATAGACAAATAGATTGACAGACAGGCAAATAAATAGATTAAAAGATAAATAAATCTAAATATATATTTGACTTGTTTTGTTGGTTCGTTTGTTTTTTAACCAATAATAAAAAGTCAAAACGGTTTAATCGAATGGGCCCAATTTATTTTTGGTATCTCACATGATCCCAGGAATGTTTAATGTCTAGACGATATTTAGAAATGTTGCCTGGAAATTCCAACATAAAATCTGCAGGTTTTTCCCTATACGATGAACGGGAAAAAGTTACGGGTTGAAAAGATGATTGATTTGGGGTACCATCCCGCTTTTACCGTCTAACTTTTATGCTTTATGCAATATGCCCCAGACTCAAAGCCGGATATTTGATAAAGTATCGTTTAATCAAACTCCCGAATTTACTTTATTAATGTAAGAATCAGAAAATTATATGAAATAATATTTCGAACAAAAAATTTGATATCTACAAAATTTACTTCGGGTTCTAACACCGGGTTTAATGACGATACTCGGTTTTAAATTTCGGGCTCTGACTTCGGTCTGACTTCCTTAAAGTCAGTACAGTACGTTAAATGAACCGGAGATTACATACATGTACATGTATACTGTACAGGGGAGCAGAGAAGTATGGGAATGGCTGATCTAATGAACTTTGTCAAAGATCTAATAGAGATGGAGGAAAAGAAAAAAAATGGTAAAAGTAAATTTTTTTCTGCTACTACAAAACTCATACCTTTCGGTAATTTTAAGTGACCCCCAATTCTCAATGGCACCCTTTAAAACCTTACCATTGTTTTACATTTAGAAACTAATATTTTTCAATTATTTTGGTTTCTCTGTCTAAGTGACTATAATCGTAATTTCAAGTGACCCTCTATGCACAATATACAGATGGGATATACTTTAGTAGTTTGGAATTTATTTACGTTTTTCTAGGTTTAATTCTGGTAGTTTCTATATCTGCAGTATTGAATGTACATGGCACTTTTGTAGAAAAACTACCATTGAAAAAAAATCTGTTTTTAAAGTTAAAAACATTGATATTTAATTCATACTTTATCAGACAAAGCTTTTTCAAGGGCACTGTTGTGAATCTTGCATTGCTATCTTTGCATTGAGGGTCATTTGAAAATACGCTTACAGTCTCTTTAAGGAAATTGGCAGAATTATCCACATTTAAATTAAAACTGGGGTGGCATCAGGTATGCAACTCATTAAATGGATGATCCCTTGACATTACCTTCATATAGTCCTTTGGATATTTATTTTATAATCTTAAAGGGAGTGTTCGCGAAAAATGAAAGGGGGTATAGGCTTAATGCGATAAAAAAGCGCTTTTGATCGCTAATAATCTTACTTATATCTGTTGCGTCTATAAGGAGAAAATTGTTAAAGACGTCTCATACCGAATAACTTAGCGCCCATACAAATTCAGAAAATTGCAACATATGACTTAGACCGTAAAAAAATCAATTTAATTTCAAACAAATCATTCAGATATTACAACCTATAGTCATCGATTATCTTTCGCCACATTTGTATATAGTTTATATTTTATAATATTTTTTAACTAATTTGTTTTGAATTTGATTATTTCTCTTGTCGCTTGCGCAACTATCTAAGAATGCCGCGCACCACTCACATTTTTCGAAATCCGTTAAACGTTTTCTAAAAAAAATAAAATATTATAAAATATAAACTATATACAAATGTGGCGAAAGATAATCGATGACTATAGGTTGTAATATCTGAATGATTTGTTTGAAATTAAATTGATTTTTTACGGTCTAAGTTGTATGTTGCAATTTTCTGAATTTTTATGGGCGCTAAATTATTCGTTATGAGACGTTTTTAACAATTTTCCCCTTATAGACGCAACAGATAGAAGTAAAATTAGTAGCGATCAAAAGCGCTTTTTTATCGCATTAAGCCTATACCCCCTTTCATTTTTCGCGAACACTCCCTTTAAAGTCATTTTCGAAAATTAGAAGTTAGACAACATTAAAGTTTTAACAATTATAAAGACAACAAATGTTGATTGAATTTGGGGGTTTTTTCGAAAAGAAAAAAATTATATTTATTGTACAAGATTTATCTCAATAATTGTAAAATGTTCAGGTTTGCTCCAGCCGTCGACTACGAAGAATACTGCAGTATAATTACTGTACAAAGATACAGGATATTTACACTCAAGCATTATTTAGCATTCCGTTTGTTGACAAAATGCAAAAATTTCAAAAAAAATTACGAAAATTTTTGTTTTTTTACGGGAAAATGTCCCTTATTTTGTTTTCGCTTTCTTTCGAAAAATTCATTTTCGCGAAAAAGTTTACTAAATACGAAAGAAAATTTTCGCTAAATTTTGAACTTTTTTGCAAAAATTTATGTTGAAGAAAAAGATACAGATAGATCATTTGTAAATGTTTATGTCCAACATTTTTATACTTCTCCTTAATTCATAAGCTTGGATCAGATTAAAATTATGTTAGCATTTACTCAGGATTAAAAAAGTAATAAAAATAGTCACAACCAGTGAGTCTCTTCATTAGGGGAGTTTGTCACTAAAAGAGAAAAAATAAAGAACTCGGACATGCAGTGCCACAATTACAACTTCACACATACAAGCTGCGAATATGGAAACTAACAATTTGTATATCATTTGCCACTAAATTGGATTGGATTCATGTTTTCAATATTCTCGTTGGGAATAATTACCTGGGCCCATATCCTTGGTTGCTTGGTTGATTTTAAATAACTTTTAGAAACTTATTATTTTTCTTTTTTGATTTTCACATTGTATTTTGACTTTCAACGACAATTCTAAAACGATATTTGGAAAAATGTTTGATTTTTTTCAATATCATTTTTCAAAGACGTTTAATTCTTTAAATAATAGATACAGCTGCATCTAGATTTTTAATATATTCAGGGCTGGTCATTTAATAATTTCATGTTGTATAAAATTTACGCTGTTTAATCTTTAGAAGACTGAAAGATTTCCTTCAAATGTAGAAAATCATCCAAACTTATGATTTATTAACAAGTTTGTGTAAAATTCAGGATAAAACAGAAGTTTAAAATCAATTAATCAATGTATGTAATTCTGTATTTTTATATCAGATTTATATTTGTAATAAATACATATATAAGAGTGTTATAATCATTTACAACTACTTGGCAGGAAATTTTACTCGACCATGAGTTTCCAAGTAAAATTTGGTCACAAACACATTCAGAAAGTAACAAGAGATATTTTGTAAGCAAAATTGGTCGAGGAAACCCTGGAAGTTTTAGGTCTGTAATATTGGCAAAAATGTGGTAAATATTTTACCAACAACTGATAAGAAATCGACACTTTTATTTACAGAAGAAGTGGCACAAAAACAAAACAGAGTTTGAAAATAAAAATAATCTACATGTTAATTGGACCTGATATTCTACAAACCTGCAACCAGTCACTTCCACCTTTATTCCACAATACCAGGGTGTCTTTAAAAACAGCAGTTGATGCCAAAGACTCAATATTATACCGATTTTCATTTTCAAACATTTAAAACATCTGCTATAAATATCCGATTTAAACAGTATTTTTTTTTTTACAACTTAAAGTTTATAATTTCCAAACAAAAGGTGTATAGAAAATAAACTTGAATAGTTGTAAGGAAAAAACAGTTTTGTTTCTAAAATCATATAATACTATATTACGTCAACAATCAACATTGAAGGATGTCAAAACAGTAATTGTAAATATATTATTTACTACAAACAAGCGACGGGTTTTCTTTGTCAACATTTAAGAAACTGTTAAGGGGATATTTTAGATGTTGATCGATACCAATAATAGATCTTTTTGATGTCCCTGTCTCAAGAAATTGATACAAAAAACTGTGTCTAAATTATTAAAAAATTCTAATACGAAGGAGTTGAGTTTTTGCCACAAACTATGATTTTTAATCCCTATACCTATGCAAACCAATTTCATAGCCCTTTGATTTTTCAAATTATGAATTATGTTAGATCAAATAATTTAAGTTTGAAATATTAAAGGTTTACACCATCAGGTTGCAAAGATATAGGGATTATAAAATTGGAGTTTGTGGCAAACACTCATTTCCTTTATATAAAAATTTGCACAGCCAAGTTGCAAAGATTTAAGAATTAGAAAATTTTGAAATTCAGTTTCTTTGAGATTTTAAATAATTGTAATTTATTATTATTTTATCCCAACTATGTAAGTGTCAAATATTGGCAGAGTATAGAAAGCCATATTGATATTTTATTATTTTTTTTAATAAATATGACACCATGGAACATCTTCTAAAATCGTTATGGTTTAAAGATTTTTCCAAAGAAAGTTTTTATTCTAATTTTTGCAATGCAAAACCAGATTCGGTCCATCAAAGAAAATAACATAATTTGATTGATGGTATAAATTAGTAAATATTTAGCTTGTTATATATAATTGAATGCAAATATATAATTCAATAATTACTAAATTGCAAAATATAGTTTTCTTCTTAAATCAGATTTAACTTTAAAGTCAGTTAGATTTAATCAAAGGTTAAATATGTACAAGATTGCTTTGATCTGCCTCATTCTTGGACTTAGGTATCAACACACTCCTTTTATTATGAAGATCTTTAAATAATGTCTGTAATATCATCTTGTTCTTGCTGGCTAGTGTTAAACGACATGAAATTTATAGAATAATAATTTGAAACCTAAAGGTTTTTCATTATTTCAAACGTTCTCGTTCTTTTCAACACTTCTGTTTAAAGGGACCGGAAGCGTAATTTTAAGTTATCATCCATGCAAAAGTAACAATGCCCGATTTAAACAGTATCTTTAAAACATTAATTCAATTTAAGATGTATATGACAACATTGTCTTTCTGGCTAAAAAAGTATTTATTTCTGTGAATTTATCCATTGTTTGTAATAAGCAAGAAAGAGTTTATATTTATAAAAAAAAAACATGAATATCATAATTCATACTTCAGACAAAGGTACCGTGGTAAAAGTACCAGGCATTGCAATCTTTTCAGGGAGGGTCACTTGATATTACTTGTACAATATCTTTAACAGTGTGATAAGTTACTAAATACATTTTCATAAACAGTTTTTTAGTTCTGTTGATTGCAAACCTGCAAACTTCTTGATTGAGACTCTAGATGAACCAGACTATCCAGAGATAATAGCAGATAGTTTTGGGCCCTCAGGATATGCAGGCGAAGGATATGCTACCGAGGGTGAAGTGGAGGCTGTTGCTCCTGTAGCTGCTCCTGCTGCTCCTGCAGCTGCTCCTGCAGCAGCTCCTGCAGCAGCTCCTGCAGCAGCTCCTGCAGCAGCTCCTGCAGCTGCTCCTGCAGCAGCTCCTGCAGCAGCACCTAAAACACTTCAATCAGTTGTATAATGATATGTTGTATAACTAAAAAACAAACAATAAAAACAAGTTTTGTTAAATGTTGTTCTTGAATGTATAGAAATATGTTCACAATGTCGATTAAAAAAACAGCCTTTGAGAAGATTTACAATTATTGCTACATAGTAATATTTAGCACTAACATTGCCAATGGAAACCTTGATAGGAGAAAGAGGTTTTTAATAAAGTATTTTCTTTGCTTGTCTAAATCAACGATAACTAAAGGAATAGAGCTAGTCTTTGCCCTATATCTTTGCAAACCAATGGCATAAGTTTAGAATATAAAAGACTTACACCATCAGGTTGCAAAGATATAGGAACATGAACATTTAAGATTGTGGCAAAGATTCAATTGTTACTCTGAGAAAATCAGCAATACATCTTTGAAATCTAAAATGTCTATGTCCTTCTTTGAGGGTAATCTTCTATAACTTTTAGAGAGACAAATTTCAAGCAAATTTTTTATGAATAATTCTTTAGGATTTAATTATGAACACAAAATGTATGGTTAAATGATAAATCAAAATAATCTGAATTTTTATCAACAAAATTAATGGTTTCATTAAAGTCTAAATTGACAATGACGTGAACAAAACATTCTAGAAAAAAATATATATTTATCATAATTATATACTTTTTACTCATTTTATATATGGACGCTGGTATACGGTTTGGATGATATTTTAGATACGCTGAATTTGTTGAAATATACATTTGTATTTGCAAGATTTTACTTATCACAGCTTTTCATCGCTGCGAACATTCCATCATTTCTTAAGTATTTGTTATATCAAGACAACATTTTACACTGAAAAAGAGTTTTAAAGCATCGATTTTTTTCCTGAAGCATAAAAGGAGTATGCAACCTATTCCCCCACGTTTTCATTTTTGAAATTTTCTTTTTGAACAGAATTTCGGGGGGTTCGGGCAGGGTTCTGCTATATTTTACCTGGGTTCAAACAGGGCGGATTGCAGAGCTTATGACCGCATAGCCCCTCCTCCCTCGGCTCATTAACCTTGACGAGCGGGTGAATTGTTACTTCATTTGTGGTGCTGATGAAAAAATGGTGTGGTGTGCCTTTCCCCGCATCATTGATTTTAATTGGTGTAATGTCAATGGGATAAATGATCGATTGGACTAACGTTTGTTTGGAAGCTAATAATGTTCATTTGTTCTAACGTTCAAAAGGACTATCCTCTTAGACAATTATTTTTTTCAATTTTTTAAAAATTACCCCCTATCAAATTTTGTTGTAGTTTTACACAACAAATTATATGTTGAAATCTTAATTTTTGAGGGTTAGGTATAGGCTGGGTTACGACTTATATTTCTGGGCCGATCGGTGCGGCTAGGACCAGGACGTTCTAGGGGTTGAGCGCTGCGACTAGGTCAGGCAAGGTGGCCGGCATTGCGGCCTCATTTTCCTAAATTAACGATGCCAATATGCATTTCAACAAAATTTTTTTTTTTAAATCATGGTTCATTTTGAAAGTAATCAAGTTCTGTTTTTTTCATAAGTATTAATCTGTTCAAATGGACTAAAAACTGGTTCGTGAACAGCTGACTTTAGTGCAGTTGTACGTTAGTACAATCGACCTTTGGTCCTGTCGATATAGCATTCTTTAGTAAATCAATCATTTCTGAAAAATACTCAAAAAACCTTTTCTAAAGCAATGATTTGAAATGTCGTCTGTACTAAGCGCAACATTTCATTATTTTTGCCCCGTTCACCATTTTCTCAACAACTTCGTGATTTGCCGACAAACTGAGAAAAAATTAGGTATTATTTTTTTTCTTTGAAGATAACTGTTTAAAATATACCATCAATAACAGTGAGACAATTAACCTTTAAACACATTTATTAATGTTGTAATTTCTAAGTGTTGAATATTGACAACTATGAAATGTTATTATCTATGAATGCAGACAAATGTTGTGGCCTTGTTTTATAAGAGTTAGATTAGGTCAGAGTCAGAAAATGTTTAAGGAATCGGACATTAATACCTAGGGTAAGGCTAAGACAATGTCTGGACCGAGCGCTGTAGCTAGGACAGGCTATAGGGGGTCTGGCCGCGCGCTGCTGCCACATTTCTAATTTTGACCATGCGTAACAAGTGGTTTAATGAGCCTTGGGTCTGTTCGCAAGAACAACTTTTAATCGTCCCCCCCCCCCAACTT